AGCAGGAAAAAGAAAAAGCAAACAAAAAATAACTCAAACATTGTATTGCTGTATGGAAGATTCTTGAATAATGAAAAATAACTGCTTCAATGAGCACATGGAACCAGACTTCCTGTTACCCTCAGCCATAGTGATTCTTCCATTTGACTCAGAGGTAGAAGGTCCCCGAGTGTCTTCAGACATATAGACGCAGAGAAGAACGAAGGGGAAGCGTCACTGCTGATCAGACTACTAACAGAAGCTCTAGAAGAGGCACAGCAGTTGCCGGCATGCCCCGCGCTACCCCTCAGGAGTACAGAACGATGACCCTCATTGTACACGAGGCCAGAGGCTTTTCACAAACTACGTTTCAGCCAGGAGGGGGCTTATCCATTCACTGGCTCACAAGTACATCCAAACAGATTTAAATTGGGTAACAAAGCAAGGCTTCTAGATCTAAACACGGCAAACATTTCAATTCGTGGAAGGGACCAGGCACAGAAAATACAAGGTTCATGTAAAATTATTCCAAAAAAAAAAAAAAAACAAATCGATTTTAGAACTATACTTAGAGTAGCAGCTAGATCCTCTACACATGGAACCCCTTGAAGAACTCATGTTCTTACATAATCAATAGCTAACAGTACAAAAGGGACAGGAAGAGACAGTGGAAATCCCTTCGCTGTCTCCTCATATGCACTATTTCCTCCCGGCAGAATGACTGGGCAGCTCAGTCTGAAGATGGAAGCCAAACTACTCTTTTTGACAGGGTTAATTTGTTTTTTCCTACACAAATGATGTGGAGAAAAAAATCCTTAATGCAATCTCCTGCATTAAAACACACATCTGAGATGCTTCCTTTTTTCCCGACTTTCACCTCCAACTGAAAAATTATACCTCCACAGATCTTTAATACCTAGTGAGTTATAAGGTGAAGGGCTCATTTGACAGTCTATGGCAAGTACCATAAGCAGAAAAGACGCTTTATTAAATATTCAATAAGTTGGCAAGAAAAAAAAGATATATACGCACACATACATATTCTTTCCCAGGGATCCACGCAAAAACATCTCTAAGTAAGCTCTAATTTTACACTATAGGTGGTAATCAAATTCAAGAGCTGTTTGCAGAGTGTTTCATAACACAGCAGGTTCTTGAATCAAATACAATTTTTCTGTGGCATAACAGTTATCGCCACAAGTGATGCACTTCACACCTCTATGGTCGAGTTTCAAATAATACGTCATTCGAGAATAACTGTTTCGCATTTTTACCTCCAAAAGCTGATGCAGAGCATTTTGAAATTAAGTGTTTCCTTTTACAGAGAAGTTAGGGTGCTTGAGACTGAAGTAGAAAACTGGCTGTGTGTGGAACACTGTTTTCAATTTCTTTCTTTTCTTTCACGATGCTGCAAATACAGAAACCGCAGGCAAGCTAGGATGGGAGAGTAATAAGAGCTTGAGCAAGAATAAGTGAGAGCTGCAGTTTAGCGAGTTGTTTGTTGTTGTTGAGAGTACAAAGATCACATTTTGTTCTCTAAGCTCATACAGAATGGTTTAAACGTTAAATAAGCCATGCAACACCCGCACTTAGTCAAGAAAATACCAAATGGATAGAAGATGAAAGCATGCTTCTTCAATAAAGCAGCAAAGGAGAACTTGTATCAAAACAAGCCCAATGACCAGGTCTTCTTGAGAGCTGGATAACAAAAAGGTAAACAGATGTACATGTTCAAGAGAATAAGACAAAGGACTGAAGCTTTTTTCTTCCCGTTACTTCCCCACTCCCTGTCATTCCTTGCTTCTAACAGTGACTATAGTGGAGCAATTTTTAAGCCAATCATATTTTAAAGTGTACTGGTAAATTCATCTTATTCTCTGGATAGCACTCCAATTCCTCCAAAGAAATGCTTGAATCAACTGCTTTTGTATAATACCATTTTGCCTACTGACTCTATCCATTTGCATGGAAAATATGCAGCAGCTGAAGAACTTACCTGAAAACAGTGTCTCCATTGTAGCATTCATTTTCCTGAGAAGCCCTACTCGAACAATAGCAAGTACAAGAGATCAACACTGCGTTCCAAAATAGTTACAGTATTAAAAGCAGAGTATTTTTCCAAATATGTAAAAAATATATATACACACAGACACAAGGGAGTAGTATTCAAAAGACATCTTTCTCACAGCTGCCTTTTATTAAAAAGTATTCCAATATATACTTGATTATGCTGTAGAACCTAAGGGTTTTTTTGTTGTGGGTTTTGTTTTTTTTTTTCCTTGAGTGTTCCAATGCCTTTACACTAAAAGAAGTTTGCAGTGGCTTTAAAAAACCCCTAGAATCTGGAACTATATTCTATTATAATTCAGATCTAAACAACTCATTTCAATATAACATTATCTTTGTTAACCTTATCAGAATACTTCCCTCCTTCCCCTCTCCCCACTGCAAGAGGACAACAGTGTTACCTTGTAATGTGCTCATGAGAGTATCTCATAATGGAAATGCATCTTGTTTATATTCAAACAATCCTAATTAATGATTTTGAAAACTTGCAGTAACGTTAAATAATCGACTAGAACTGCCTAGATGTAGCTGTTGCTGAACTCTTAATATTCTAAGAGAAAGATGTTTGAATCAGAGGTGGACAGAGAAATCCTTATCAAATGTTAAACTGAGTAAGAGTTTATACACTTATTTATAAAGTTTAATAAAGTTTATTATAAGTTTATACATTTTATTGATTTCTGGGTTCTCCAGGTCTTGAACTAAGGTTTTTTTTTTTTTTTTTTTTTTTTTTTTTTTACAGTCTGAATTGGTCTAGAGAGTCTTGAAGCTACTAGAAACCATTTGTATACCTATTATGCCAGTTAATCAATATTACCTTAAACTACGTGGTGAAATGTTGGTATCATGAAGACTAAATATTTTCCCCAATTAACTTGAATGAGATGAGATTTCTGTTAGTAAAACTGACAATTCAGCAAAGAAATCCCTAAAGCAAGAACTGTCATAGTAGGTGTCTACTAGTCTTAGTAATACCCTGAGAAAAAACAGTACTAGCATCTTACATTAAAACAGTGTGTAGGAAGAAAATGAAAGTTCTATATTGGTTTAAGGGCTCTTTCTGGAATATAATCTATTTTACGGTTACTTGTACAAGTGACAAGAGTTTTTTGTAAACTTGATTCACCTACAATAACTGCATGCTGGAACAAGGTAACTGGATGTATCATTATAATTTATATTGCACACCTAACTGGTGATATTTAGGCAACAATTCTTAATTACTAACGTATTAAACCCAGATGTTTCCATCTTGTATAAGCGTGATTACTGGTCAATGTTTCCATGAGGCTCCTTTTGCTTGAGTTTAGTCACTGAAGTAGTTAAAAGAGAAGATTGATGCAAAGACTGCAACTGCAGCTGCTATTACCACACCTAGAAATGACAAAGGAAATGCATTCAGTGAGTGGCAAGGGCAGCACAGTCATCAACAGCTAGGGTGTGGAGGGCAGGGTCAAGGTGAATGAAATGTAGGAATAGAAACAATAAAAGCCACCCAAAAAAGCTGTGCACCACTGCTAAGCCTAAATCCAAAGCTATGATGCAAGATAATTACATTATACAAGCCCCACAAGAAATGTCTAATTGGAGCAGGATTCTTCCAAACTCCAGTTGACTGCATTTTTCAGAAATAACTCAGCAATGTCGTGGCCCATAAAACAGCACTGACTCTGCACCACTGCTTAATTCTAGAAGTCAGACTAGCAGAAATAACTAACTTTAAATCGAAACAAGAATTTTAATGTTTTCTTTTTTGTGTGGTACTACATCTACTCCTTATAATCTCTGAAGCAACCCTTACGGCATAATACTCATTTTCTTATTAAGAAGTTCGCTACTGATGCGCTTGACAAGATATTGGGGGGAAGAAGATCGATGATTCAAGGAAAAGCGCTGCTACACCCAAAATACTCATATTCATGATTACTCTTCTTTAATCTTCTAGTCACTGTGTTTTACTTTTAAGAATAGATAGAAAACAAAACGCTACTGTTTTGTTGACTACAGTATAACTGAAAGTACATTCTTGATACTGTATTTTAACAAGAAAAGACAGTTCAAAGCTCACAGGACAGAGAACGCTAAGTGCGGAGAGATGCATGAGACCTGGATCAATGAGCATTAATAAGCTGTACCTGAGAGGAAAATTCTGTGACTACTGTTCCTTAAGTTATTGAGGCTGACAACTAATAGCCAAGCCCATGCATATGTAAGCTTTAGAAGAAACTTGATGACTCACTAGCCAATTTAAGGATGCCTACTTGACAGATTGATTCAACTACGCTCCTTCTCCAAGTACAGAACTACAGAAGTAGTGGCTCCCCCAAAAAAGACATGAAGCTACATAAGCTGACCGTTTTTCTTGAAACTGCGGGCTATGGTTCTTATTTTCCAAGAAACACCCTGTACCTACAATTCTCAAGTGAGAACACAGTTTAGAAAAGCTATTGTATGAAGTCACCAGCAGCAAGGTTTAAGACTTTTCCATTAATCTCACAAAAACGCTGTGGGAACGAATGGTACTGAAAAGCTGCACCATAGTTTCTGGATTGCCATAGCAGAATCAGGGAGGTAACATACCCATATTTTGTTGAAGTTTCAACAGCAATGTTGCTTTTGTCAGTTGATTCTGTTCTGTGTCATCCATGTTGTCAGTAACTGGACAAATATGAACTGCACAGAGATCAAGTGAACAAATAAATACCAGGTGAAAAGCTAATATTTGCATTTTACACAAATTTTACAGTTGAATTAGTGCAAAAGGATATGAAACTCATATCAACTTTATAAAGCATATATACAGCAGAAAGATCAATTATTGCAGTAGTAATAGTGCCGCAGCAATAACACAATACAAAGTTATCCTATGTAACTGGGAGAGAGGAGGTAGAGGAGGGGAAAAAACAACAAAAACCAAGAAACCATACACCCTCAGGAAAGGAGGAGTTCCCCTTTCAAAACTCACTTTTCTGCACTCTGTCCCCTGGTTACATACCCAACTCCCTTTATATAATCTGGGGAGAATCTGACACCTCAGATCATGGTTAATTTTGGTGATTCCCCAAGTATCTTCCAAGATCAAAATTTTCCCTTCAAAGTCGCATCTGTCCGGAATTCAGGCTCCAAGGAAATACCATTGCCACTAAAAGACTGAGCCCAGCATAAATTCACTGCCTCAGTCATAAATGCTTTAAGATCCCTTTTAAAGGCACTTTCAAGACAGGAATAAAGGCTACATTCCCCTTTTGATACAGTTAGGAAATTCGTAGAACACTCAGTCAGGATGTGAGAGAGCTTGACTCTGTTCCTAGACTGATGGGATTGAAATCTGTATCTATTCCCTTTCTGAAGATTTCTCTAATCGCTTGGCTATATCCAGATTGCTGGAGGGAGCAGGAGAGAGAGAGAGAGAAGAGGATTATTCTCAAGTCCTCTAGCTGCACTTGTTCCAATTTGTTCCACACAGAGCAAGCATACTTTGGATTATGCAGTTTGGTGGTTAGGCCACTTGGTGGTGGCAGGCTAAAGGTCTTAGATTTCCACTCCTGTTGCTAGACTAGCCTGTTACAGCTTCACCTCTCAAAAGTTCTGATTACAGTTAAGTAATTTCTATTGCAGGTATATTCTAGGGAAGCAAAAAGTGAAATAAAGTGTTCTTGCTACTGCAGTGAAACCTGGATATCTTTGGAAAGAACAGAATGGACATGCCGAGATATGCAAAACAGACTAACAGATTCTTCCTGTTCAGAAGATGAAGAGAAAAACCCACAGCAGTACCAGATATCAAGATTCAAAAGTCCATGGAAAATTGATTTGTATAACAATGAACCTTTCATTACCTGAGTGGGGTTGTCAACCATCTAGAGACTACAAGTTACACAGCTGAGTAATACTAGGCACATCCCTCATATGATTCATATGAAAATGATTCAGAGAAGTACTTTCTCTAGCATATCATGTGCCATGGGAGAACACACAATCTAGACCTGTGATCAGAAAGGTGGTGCCTGTCATCTTAGATGAGTCATGTGTATGAATGGCTTTAAAAATTTCCTAAGTCACAAAAAACTTACAAGCAATTGATCCGACTAGCTATTTGGGACTTGTCTTCAGCCACACATCCTCCTCCTCCTGTGTTTGGCCTTAGAATCCACTGACTTTTTATAGGATGTACTGCAGCATAGCAGTTAACAACTGTCCAATATGAAATTTAATGGGACAGTGAGATTCATATGCTAAGTAAGAACAGAGCTTTGAGATCTCCCAGAAAGTTGCACATAGAGGTAAAAAAAAAAAGGACATAAAATCTGAATGTGAGGGGTGTTTTTGTTTTTCAGGAAAATCTCATACCTCCAAGGCTTACAAGTCTGCAATAAGCCTATTACTTAATTAATATGTTTTCTCCAAAATGGAAGACAATCCACCCTTATCCGGATAATAGCTGAAATCTGTGACTGGAGAACAATACATAAATGACTAACGGTGGTAAAATAGCTTTTTTTATACCTTCTTATACCTTAACTAGCAAGCCAAAAGCACCACATTCTCTTCAAACTTCTTTATGAGAGTTTTCAATTCCCTAAAACAGAATCTTTCTTTTAGAAAAGTTGACCACATTTCTTCTGTCAACTCTGAAGACCAGATCCAGTAGGTTTCTTTCTGTTTTAGTTTTGAGAAAGAAGTAAGGCAGTTTGTGTTCTGACCTTATATGGCTTTGCAGCTTTATAGGAAGAGTTGTACTTTTCAGGAGGTAACTTTTGAAGCTGCACATCAAGACAGCAGTGCTCGTTTGTTCAGAAAACAAAGCGGCCTCCTCTCCCCCTCCCAATCCCCCCACACCAATCCTGAGCTAGTTAGAGACTAAAAGACATTTATGCCATTTGGTTACGGAAGATCTATTTTTCAAATAGCTTTGGTATAAATAACGTGCAGAGTTTTCAAAAGCAGACATTTTCGAGAACTAATTATATGAATCCTTACTTCTTTATTAATTCTTAAATTTGCTAACAAAGATGGACAAGAGATTACCGTTACTGAAGTCTTACTTATGTTTATCTACCCAGTGCACTTAACAGCCCCCCTGCTCAAGGAGGAACAGGGATTTAATAAATCCAATCATAAACACAGAGCTTTCAACTGCTTGTATTAAAGCACTAAATACCTTGAAACTACAGTCTTAGAGCTATTTATATCTTTTAATCATAATAGGTCAGTTTTTACTTTCTATTTTCTGTGAACAACTTTAAAGCACAACCCAATAGTGACCTGACCGGAGAGCTGAAAGAGAAAGAAGAAACACCAGAGTAAGGAGAAGACAGCAACGCATCCCAGGTAAGTACATAAAAATTGCGAAGGATAGCTCCGCTTCATACATTTTGACTAAAAGCTGCTTAAAAGTAAATCTTTGTTCTACTGATCAGATCTTGTTTTCAAGTACTTAAAGAGCATTAAAAAGACACTCTTGGAAAAGCATGCTCACAAATTTTTGAATTTTAAACAATTATTTTAGGAGAAAGCCTTCCAGAACTTCATAATGCATAACTTCTTCAGTTATTTCAAGACTGGAAGTCAAAATTCATTACAAAACAATTTTTTTTAAACTAATACCCAATACTAAATATTATTAATAGAGACACTTCTAAGGTTTGAGAAGCAACAGATGCTACTCCTATCAGAATGATGCCTTGAAAAAGCCTTTACACAAGGGAAACCCCAGCTGCCATTATGTCATAGACTCATGCTTCTAGTAATACTTAGGTATTTCATACCAAAGTACCAATGGACCCAAACTGCTAAATTAATTCCTTTCTTTACAGTGCAGAATACTTTCTGCACAGCCGACAGGTCTCATTTCTAAAATGACCTATCAGCATTAATAAAAGTGAAGAGGCACTTTATGTCACAAGTTAATAATTCCATAACAATAATCATCAGAATCAAATAGTATTGAGCTGATAGCCTACTGCTAGCATCACTGCTAACAGAATCCACTCTAGGGAGAAGCTTCTTGGTGCAAAGTCAGGCTCCCATTTTATTCTGGGACCCTCTTGGTACATTTTTGCCTTTCTTCATCTAGGCATTTACTTCTATCTATGTAAAAAGATTAAAAATAACTGCCCCATGCCTAGTTCTACAGCCAGTAACTTATAAGAACATATAAATTCATTTTGTGAGCTACCTGGACTTCATTTTACATGTGCTAGTGGCATCAAATCTTTATGATGTGTTACTGTTAGTCTAAATCATGCTTTCCTCCCACCTACAGATTATACATCTTTACGTAAGTTACAAAATTTTAGTGAATCATCATCCCTCCCCAGGCATATCTTTAATGCTACAACAATATTAGTTTACTTAATTCCCTAAATGATACCAATTCCTTAAAGCTCAGTAATGCTTAGCTTTAAAAATATTAAAATTATTCTTATATTACAGGAGATATTTTTACTGGTTGGACATAAAAATTTATGGTTAGCTCTGAAAACAAAACACTCAAGAAGCTTTCCAAATAAACAAGAGGGCTAAGCAGAACATTAGCAATCACAGCTTATCTTAGATGGCAAACCAATGGCAAAGTCTTTCGTTTTCCCCTCCCTAAATTCCAACATCAAGAAGTGTTTACTGTTCCTATCTGAGAAATAGTGTTAATTTTTTAACTTGCAGTTTACAATTTTATATTGTAACTCCCAACCACATTGATGGAAGAAAAGGGGAGGGGGGGAAAAAAAAAAAGAGATAAGAAAAACCACAAAACACACACTTGCAGAAAATCATAGGAAGTATTATGAGATGCATTTCTGCTATAGATTTGAATCCTACAATGAAGTTGAACTCATATGAAAAAAACAGGAAACAATGTAAGCCAGATCACTCAGAAAAAGAAATCAATAACCTGTTTGTGACAAATACCTGTATTAAAAGGAGCGCAACAGTCTCATAGGCATATCATACGCTTAAAAGACATTCAGTAGAAAAAATGAAGAGCTTTCAATTTTCTTTGCATTTTAGGGGAACAACAGCACTTCAGTTTTATGCACTGTATTTGATGTATAGATTAAAATATTAACACACTCAGAACAAGGAAGGGTACTTCAGCGGGGGACGGGGCTTGAGGAGAGGAGGAGAGTCAGGTTTTACCAAGAAAACTTCCTGGAAAACACATTAGCATATTTATTTGTTACTAACAAAGCTTTTTAATATTTCCTGGAGAACTAGTAGATTTGACTGAAACATTCAACTTCATGTTCTAGCTTAAAAAAATCAGAACAACTACTCAAACTGTTGAATTGGCAAAGTTGAATTACTGAAAACGTAACTGATATAAAAACCTACAGAGTTTTTTATTACAGTTTATTTGCAGAGTAAGATCATCCCTAATTCATATGCAGAGTAAAGCGTGCAAATTTTGTTCAACTATATATTTACATGTCTACTGCAGCTCATGAGCTGCAACCATGGTTGCATAAATAATGCAATCAATGAAAGAGCAAAATATTTGAGACACAGTGAGCTCTATTACAAGCCAAACAAACTGCAAGAACCTTAATCATTTTTCACAAACACATTTGAAACGTAGTTAGATTAACATAATCAATTTCTAAGATATGAAGTAAACTAAATTTAAACGTAATACATTCCCTATCTGGATAAAATTAGCTTATGCCTTTGGTCAACATTAAACGGCATAACAGACTACGAAAATCTGGTTCTCAGATACTGCATTTACCTGTGTTAACTTCCTCTGCTATCTGTATATCTTCAGCTCGCACAGTCTGATCCAACATCTCAACAAAACGTTCTTGAATTTCTCCAGCAGCCTCATCATGAAACTTATAATCACTGAGCATCACACTGGATCCAGCAACAGGGACAAATAGCCTTTGAGGTAAGACACGACATTCCCTCTGGAAATCTAGAAAAGTAGGAGGGAAAAAAAAAAAAGCCATCTAAATAAAGACCTTGCTAGTTACGATAAAATTCCTCATTAATCTATACCCATCAGACAAAGCTATTCCAAAAGAACTGCTCAAGGCTTCCATGCAATAAGTCCAATTTCAGACATGGCTTGTTTACTTATTACTGCTTCATGAAAGTTTTGGCTGCTATCATACTGATTTATGCTTTTACATTACTCTCTCCAGAAATAGCCAAGAGACCTCCAAACCAGACCATGAAATGTTAAACTGATCTTCTATCATGTTTAGAATTACTAGGAAAAGAACTCTAGGACAGACTGCAGATAAGGGTGCACAGAGACTAGCCGGTTACTTCAACGCTACAACGGATTGCAATCAGTGGGCTGTTTTATGCCACGCTTAGAGCCACGCACTATGGGTGCCACCTAAAGAGGAAAATGAAAACTGCATGCAATTAAAAACATCAGGATCATAATTGAACCAGAGTTTGGACAAAGTCAGCTAAAAGCAGTATTTAGAATGCCTTTGTATTACTCTATACATTTAACACCGTAATGAACTGCGTTATCCTAAAGCAAATAATGACTCTGAACATGAATCACTGTTCCTTATATAATCAACCTGCTTCCCTTTCTTATCCAGTTTTACTGAAATCACTACAGAAGATCGTGGCTTTCAAAAAGCTTTCTTTCCTCTATGGAAGGTGTACAAGCTGGTATTCCATTTAACTAATTATACATACATATGTTTATACACACACACACAAATAAATGAAGATTACACTGACTTGAGGACATTTAAAGAATCACCCTGCATGAGCTAACAGATTTGGTTTCATCATACACTTCCCCTCTCAGTTTTTAATATGATCAAGATAGGAAGTTTTATTTTCATGAGATTCATTTGCATTGCGTTCTGGCCTTTGTATGGTGCTCCGTTAAATTCAAGTTAATGCAATCCACAAATTCATGATGCTGAAAGTGACATATGATCTGCTACCTTAAATGACACCAGAGCTGTATGATGAACCGTGATGAAACGAACAGAGATCAGGAGACAAGAGACAACACAGATGGAGAATTTGTACAGTTAGTTAGAAAAAACAGAATCTGAATACCTCTTCTTACCATAATCACCATGTACAAAGCTATATTTAATTTACTGGACTTGAATTATTAAACTGCAGATTTTTATGTCAGCTAGCGTTCATAACACAGCTGACAGACTGTCCAAAGCCATGTTCAACTGGTTCTTTTAATCTTGCCAAGTTTAAGCACATCTTTCATTTGAGTATCAGTAGGAACACCATAAGAGTGATTTTTTTTTTAAAAAAAAAATATGCAAGTTACAGGTAGAAGTTCAGCAACAAGATTTTTAACTAGAATTAAAAAAAAAGTCAGTCAGTGAGAAAGAAGGTGAAACTACACTTTGTCGTCACAGAATAAACACAAACTTTGTATGAAAACTGTGATAGCAAGGAACATATATAAAACTCGTCTAAAGCTCTGAATCAAAAAGGTCAGGACTGAAAAACAAAAATTGTGCTATTTGCTTTTTATTCTACTTTAACTATGGTAAGATTTCAGTACGTTAGCAGAATTTTCTGCAAGAACCAAAATTCACTGCATATATGGTAACTTGCTTTCTCTTTAAGTTCCTACTTTTTTTGTCAAGTCCTTCATTTATAATGAGATCTTCAAACAGTATTTCACAACGATCACTCAATGTATTTATTATGTCTCTTTTCAAAGCCTGCAAAGACAAAGCAAAAACATAAGCCGTATAAAAGCCATTTACAAAGCTTTTGACTATTAAAAAACAACAAAAGTCATCCCTCATAGGCTTAACCAATTTTCAAAGAACAGTTATTCAGAAAAAACCTTAAAGACAATAAAGTAACAGAGAAACTAACATCAAAAAAAAGTTAAAATAAAGACAACAAGAAAAAACCCACAAAATCCCAGAGGAAGTTTTTACTATTGCTAGAATAAAAACTGATAACACCTGGACATTACTATAAAAAACAAGAAAATTCACAAGGCATTAACTAACTCAGTAAGGAACAAAACCACTCAATAAATACAAACTGTTTTCCCCTCCTTATGTACAATAATACGTAGTTTGCAGGATTATCTGAACTTTAAGATGACTTGCAACATCCTTTTCACTTTGATGGTTGTGCAAAGATTCACCAGATAACAACCTTAATGACAAAAGACAGCATCTGCTAAAAGTGAAATAAGGAACTAAACCTGTTATACATACACACAGAGAGGGCTTCTCAAACAATCCATATGTTCAAGGCAGAGGACGTTTTGACCTCCGTTTAGACCACACTACTCGGTCAAAGAAAACTAGTATGACAACTTTACGTTTTCAGGAAAATGTTTCCAATGAATTCAACAACGTTTTCTCTACCTGAACAGCTTCTTTAACTTTTGGCTTGTTGTTATGGATGTAGGCTCTGCATTTCACAGCACCTTTGAGATTTATGGAACCACTGCAGACCTGGACTGTAGCTGTCGATCTACAACTTGAACCCTGGGACTGAAAAATAGGCATGTTTCAGTTTATCTTGTTACCTAGGTGCTTGCAGCACTAAAATTTATAGCATACCTTAAGACGTTTATGTGTAATCTCATAACATATACCTCTGACTTTTTAGTTCTGTTAGTTAAGATTGAAAAACTCTTTCCTTTTTTACTATGTAAAACGTTTATTTTTCCAGACGCTCCATCTCTAGTGATGTATATATTTCCGTCTGCAGGAGTTCTGAAACTTTTCAGTCAAGTGGCCGGTTGCTAGTATCAGTATTACAATCTGGCAATCTTTTTAAGATCTTTGTTTTAAATTATGAAGTTCATATGCTTACTATATAGCGCATAACCTAGGGTATCTTGAGAGTCATCCATCCGTCACGATGAAATTCTAAATTTGGTCACACTTATAACTAATTACCAAAATGAATAGTGCATTGCACGTAGCGCTCTAAGACAGCGTCTCGAAACATGGGAATTTTTCTGTAGCAAAGAGGACAAGAGATTCACAAACCAAACTAGAATTCCAGTATGGAAAGGATATTTGGTACGTGTTAGCAGAAAAAAAAAAATCTTGCCTTTAAAGCTCTAAAGAGAATTATTGATTTACATCTTTTTAAATCAAAAGGAAAACAGGCATGACTTCTGCATGAAACGCACAAACTACTTAAGCTAAAACAAAAATCCTTCCTTTCTCCGTGAGGCAAACGACTGTTGAAGCAACATAACAGCAGTGAGCTGCTCCAAGTTTAAATGGCATTTTACGTGTTTCTAAAGATAAAAGCTGCTGCTCAATAAAAATTTAGAGAGCCCAGGAACAACCTGGCAAACTGGGATGGCCTGTGTGGTATAGAAAGCCTAGAAACCAACACCTAGACACATTCTGACTTTAGGACTTAGACTGGGGCGCATAATTCAGGGGCTGAATCTCCGTAACCTCTTTTACTTTTAAAGAGGAAACTCCTGAAACAGACCTAACAGATCCAAATTACGATTCAGCTCACAGGATCTGTATGTTAGTCCAAAATTAGTGACTGAACTTCTAAAGAAAGTATCCACGTAAGCATCCACAGCTAACCATGACAAATCGAAGCATGGGGATCATGAACTTCAGGATCACGCAAAGCCACCTTGAAATCATTGTACCCAGGTAGATTCAGGTGTCCTGCTGTCAAATGAAGTAGTCTGTGGGATTTCGTTTGTCTGCCAACACAGCTGTACTGTGCAATTTAAGTCTATTCTAACACAAGAATTTCCAGAAACATGAAATATATGGAGCTGTCTACAGTTTAACAGACAACATCCAGAAGGAAAAAGTTTCAGAATAAAGCAAATTGGATTTCTTGATAATAGTTTAGATCATTCTTTCATTTCCTTATTCTATTTTAATCAGATAGCATAGAGGTTACAAGTTTACAAACTACTAAATACTTACCAGCTGTGTCAGAACCTTGACATCAGAAAACTGAGTGTTGGACTGAGTATTTCCTCTCAACTTTTTCTGAGGGGAGAGAAATACATGCGTCATATGAAACAGGAACATCTGTCCAAATCAATCGTGTCAAACTATTTTATAGTCATCCTCCCTATGGTATAAACGTGCCCCAAGTTCTAGTTTTAAAAGGAAAGCACTCATGAGAATATAAGTAAAAACGCTGAAAACAGATGAATGTAGCAGTCAAATAAGGTTTCTCCACTCCTCCTTAGATGTTTAGATGTCTTAGAAATCTTAACACCTACATTAATCCTGACTTGTGCTCTTCAATGAGGCAATAAAGCTGCAGACCCCATAAAGAAAAAACACATAGTCAGACTTCACCTGTAATCAGTGCTTTCACACTGCTAAAGAAAGAAGAGGGGATTTGCAGTAAGATGGGAAAATGGAGAGTCCTGTGTATCAGTTATTTGAAATACGCCAATTAGATCAACAAATATTCTATAGAAGACCCTTCAGTCACTGTGGTATCACACTGGAGATTTTGAACTGCACATCTATTACAATTCAACTCCTTGCTGCACAGCACTCACCAGACCTTCCAGTAGTTCCGTATCATTATCTTTAACTTGTCCATTGATCAGGAGAACACTGTCCTCTATCTGTTTTGACCACCGATTTAATCCATTCTTTAAAAAAGCGAAAAGACAGAAGTCTCATAAGAAAGAGAGGAAGAAGAAAGGAAAGAGAACTCTTCTAGCAGAGTTATACAGTATTAGCCTAAAAACTATAGAAATATATGCTTCAGTAATTACTCCAAGAGGATTTAAAAGTCTCTGAAAAAAATCTCTGTGGGACAGTAATTGACTTATGTCTGGCAGATTGTACATTTTTCATAAGCCAAGTCTTGAAATCAAAGTATTCCGAACAAAGCGCTACACCAGGCATGCAGCACGGGATTTTACTTTTATAAAGATGGATGGGGCCTATTAAAGAGTTAGTTTGTATCAAAAGCTTTCTGTACCCCTGTTCTAACTGGATGCTTCACCTGGGAAAAGGTCACAGAGTTTCAAGACTTCAGCTGGGATCACCATGACAACTGCTAAGTATTTTGAGCACAGGAAACTCCCAACTCTGAGCACAACAGAAAAGCCCTCAGCATTTTTAATACAAGGCATGCTTCACTGTGGCTTCAAAGAAAATGTAAAGGAGGAACAACTGGCAAACACTCTCTGCTAATTAGTCCTACTCCTGTACTCATATTGCATATCCAAAACCTTTCATTGAGTTTTCAACAGAAAAAAAATAGCATAGAGAATAAGCACAAAACTAATATTGCTGCAGCTAGTTAGTTACCTTGGTATTCTTCTCCAAGTCATGGTTGGGTGAAGTAGCAAGAAGTGGAATGTGAATATTAACATTCACTGTGCAGTCCAAAGTTAGCCAGCAAGCAGATAGAGCACTCTGGTATTTCCAATCTGCTGGTTTAGCTGAACTCTAGAAGTAGAAATAAGCAATAAAGTGTCTAAACAAAATACTACATAGTTCACACAAGAGAATTATTTTTGAAACACTACTTGTAATGCGTTAAAAGCTGCATATGACATACAGCATAACAAGCTCACCTTTGGATCTTGTACATCATAGGTTCGGCAAACTATTCTTTGCTACTTAAAGAAAAAGATTCAGTGAAAAGCAAAAAACAAAAACAAAAAAACAATTTTATAATTATTTTACCCTTAATATATTACAACAACTTTTTTGAGCTAATTTATGCTCAGAAGAAAGTTCTCACCTTTCATTAGTGTAAAAAAAGCAGAAAAAAATATTTGTAAACTCCAACTACGATAATGATGTTGTCTCATCTCTTACACATACATTAAGATCAATAGGTATGCACAGGGAGAACCATCAATGCACTAATATGCATCATGTCCAGGTTTCTCTCACCTTCCTAAGGAAAACCTTGCTTTCTCTCCTTCTATTAACCCATTCTCAACAGAGCCAGAATCTTCTGTTGCACTAGCACAGATCTCACATGCCTGCGACTTCCCCAATTCCATGGCTATTGGCAACTATTCCATGACTTGGCAACTGCAAGTCCAAGAAGTTACCCAATATTTTAGATGTTTTCCTTATTTTAAGCAAATCAGAACTGACTGGCTAAGGCATAGTGAGAAGCAACCACACGCACAAACCTAACAGTAAAAACATATGGGAATCGTGGGGGGTATAAGAGGACCAATAGTCTACTTCCAGCTCATCAGAAAACTCCACAATTTCAACTCACTGATCTCCTATTATCTATCAGAACTCAAACAACTTCCTCCTCCCTGCTTCATCGACTAGCCCAAAACTTCGGTCTGTATTCAAATTCTGAATAAAAAAAAGAACAGCCACATCTATTTATTGATAATGAAAGACTGCCCATATACATTTTCATCTGGCAGCTTCTACATTAAAGTTACTGCCAAATGTGGTTCTGCTATTCATTTTATCCTGTAGAAAACTGTTACTTCTAATATGTGCAGTCTGATGCCATATTGTAGCTACTCATACATATGACACCAAAAAATAAACATAGATATAAACTACATAAGCCATACTAATCATTACGATTGAATAATGATTGCAGTAAGCAGAGACGAGATGTGAAATGCATTGAGCAAACCACCAGACACATGGCTTTTTAAGGTTTGTGCGGCAATCTAACCCCAGCAATCTTAACACAATCTTTTATTCAGAAATAAATATGGAAACTAGATTGGGGACAGCAGCCTCAATCAAGCAAGCTTCCTGACAAAGGATACTTCTTTGTTGCAGAACAAACTTGAAGAGCTGCTCTATCTGAGACCTCCTCCTCAGCAGGTTTCCAGAGCCGCCTTTTAGACACAGATTTTTCCACTGAGAAGATTAGCTAAAGATGAAAGAAGCATTATGGATTTTTCCACACAAGAAATGTGCTAGAAGTCCTGGAAGAGTCTTGCACTAAGGTTTTTAAAACTGAATGATATCATAATTATGGATGAACTGGAAATACAGCTTATAAAATCATCAAAATGCCACATTAAAAGAACTTATAGCCTACATTCAGAGGCAAGTACTCTAAAGCTAAAGTTGCCCATGCAACCTCAATTTGGCTGCCTCATAAACCGAAGCAAGCAGTACACATTCACATATTCACACTCTTGTTCAAAAAAAAGAGGAACAAATTTAAATTCAGCAATTGCTGATCAGCTGGACATTGCTCACCGTTTCTTGTGGGCTACTATATAATACACAGCACTAGAAACATATACTAGTGCGGAAATTCGATCTTGGTCCTAAGAGTTCAAAGAGTACTCATGTTAAAATTACTGACTACGCTTATCTCGCAAAATAGATACAATGAACCAGTATCTATAGGATAAAAAAAGCAAAAATTAAAAAAAAAGAGATGTCACGTGGCACTAGATTCCCCTGCATTTTAATCCTACTAGTAAGTAGCATGTTCGCAGTAGTTTTTAAACATAATCCCAAACACTTAAGCCACATACCACTTCTATACAAGACATCCCTTTACAAGGAATCAAAAATAAAGATCTCTCACTACTCTAAAACCACTAGCCTAAACAATTCAGTCAGCTGAAAAGCTATCACGCTACCATCATTAACAATTCTGCCTCAAGGCTTAGAATAAATAACATTAAAGGTATTTTCCTTAAACTACAGTGGCTATTTTTAGTATAGCTATAATAAGATAATATATTTGAGAAACTGCTACTGTAGTAGCAAACACCATAAGAAACAGAGTTAGTTAATCCAGCCTGTGGTACAGTCCCAAAGGACACGGATTATTGAGGTTTCAGCGTACCTCAGCATAAATCAAACCCAAATGTTTTTGATTTAATTCTGAAAGTAGAGAAGCACATACAGCCAAAACAATGAGAGAAAAACCACCCAGCTACAGACATAGAAATATCCTTTTCTTTACTCCAGAAAGTCTACTTACCTTGCGCAAAGCATTCTGACTATCTTTTGCCAGTTCTGGAGTAGCAATAACAAATACACCAAGAACTAACAAGCCTCCAGGGAGCATCCTAGAAACCTTAAAAATAGAAATGCATATATATTAATACGATTCAGAGATCTAGGAACTGTGATACACCATGACTTTCCAGTGGAAAAAAAAAAAAAAAGATGCTTATTTCACTTCTGTTCTGCATACATGAGTGTTTTTCACTTAAGACATTCCTCTGAAATGGAGGAATAGAGTATTTTAAATAAGCTCAAGCAAGAAAATTTGAAGTCCTCTGTTTCATCATGAACTTTTAAAACAATAAATATCAATATTGTGGTTTAAGATACCAACAGAGTGCATAAGACGGTTCCCTTACTTTGAGGATAAGGCTAGAGATTACAGAAGTGATGATAATTGCTGTATTTCTTATTTACTTTCTGCTCCTCCCATTCCCTTCATTCTTTCATATTGTGATACCTGGCTGGCATGTGCAGTTATCCATTCTTCATCGATGGATGCCAGTTTTGAAGGGTTTACGTTGACTTCATTTTGCTCTTCCTTTGGAGGCGTTCGAACAGCCCTAATTACATAGTCTCTTTGTGAGGAACACTTTAAAAGACACCAATATAAACAAAGATAATATAAGGGCAGTATCAAACTTCAGAATATATCATATAATGCAGAGTAATTGTAGGGCTGTATACAGAACACATATTTTGGTAACAGATTATTATAGAGTTTAACTATTTCCTTCACAAATAGCTTTTCTTTGCCCTAAAATCTCACAGAGGGGCAAGTTGAATATTTTAATTTCAGTTTCTTGTGTTCTATCTTTTAAAAGAAAGACTTTAGAAGAATTTGTAATGTTCAGACAATACTGCAAAACCTTTATAGAAGTCTTCTCTGGCCAGACTACCTCCCTCCTGCTTTCTGTAAGCTCAACGTGATGCTAATAGACTTAGCCCAAAGCACAAAACCCACTGTGATTTTCTCCTATTAACATGAAAGAAACAGACTTCATAGCATTACACATACTACAGACATACCTGTCCTATTAACAGGCCTGTGACACAAGGCTTTAATTTTGTGTTGAGGTCCGAAAGATATTGCCCAACAGCTTCCTCAACAAGATACGTTCTACCCATTACTGCAGGCTTAAGACTAAGTATGGCAGTTTCAGCCTATTAAAAAAAAAAAAAAGTATGAAGTCAAAGAAAGTACATATGCTACACTGACTACCCAAAAATAAAAACCTTAGAAAAAGACCCTGAATACATTAATATTATGTTAACCGTCAAACGTTAACGTCAGCCCAGCCCACCTCCGCCCCGGTGCGCCGGGCCCGCCGCCCGCGGGCAGCG